TTTTTTTTTTTTTTTTGTGCGAAATGCCCCACAGTCTAATTGGGTGAGAAAATTTTGGATGAAAAAAAAAACATTTTTTTAGCAAAAATCTGTTTACAGCTATGACCCGAGGATGAATAAATGGATGATGGTGAAATCGATGAGCACAAGGAGGAAGCATCTCGGAACTGCGGTACAAGATGGATGTCTATACGCGGTGGGTGGCCGAGACAACTCCTGCGAATTGTCTTCTGCCGAGAAGTATAATCCGGGCACGAATGATTGGACCAGTGTGGTCGCTATGAATAGTCGAAGATCCGGGGTATTTTCCAGTTCCATCCATCTAATTTTGTGGTTTTCTTTTTTAAAAAACAGCCCGCCTTCACTTTGAGTAAGATCTGCTTACGCTACTGTTTTCAGTACTCTTTAGTTCCACACTTATGCAGTCTAGGGATGGTGGAGGATGAAACTTAAGCACATCTCACTGGTAGAATCCTAGTAAGATCAGTGAGCAATTTAGATGAGGTAATTATGCCTGAAATATGCCAAGAAACTGAGTACGAGGGTTGGGTAGCTGGATGTTAAATGCCTTCACAGTCTTCCACATCAAGCTATGGAGACTCGCACCGCCTGGCGCTCTTGAATCCCACTTACTTTGATTTTGTAGCTACAAAATGATAGTTTGGTTTGTTGTCGGGCAGTTTCAAAATTTGCGTTCCTTTTTATTTACCGTCCGCAACAGAATGCATTATTGAGTTCGGGCTGTTTAGAGGCATTTTTTCTTTTTCGGCAGCAAATGGCTTTCAATTAAATGTGTATTTAGGTTGGTCTTGCGGTGGTGAACGATCAGCTATATGCTGTGGGAGGTTTTGATGGTACCACTTATCTGAAAACCGTAGAGGTGTTCGACAGGGAAGCAAACCAGTGGCGTCAATCTGGATGCATGAATTATCGACGACTTGGTGGTGGCGTTGGTGTGGTTCGTCTTGCTCATGACCAATATGCGCCACATGGCGCAGATCTGATTTTAACTCCTTTCGGCGATCCCCCTTTGTAGTATTATTTTACAATTTTCCCCTCTAAAATTTCTCTCGTAAGCGGTAACATATCTCTACAAGGCGTTCCCGAGTGCTACTCCCCCCATTGTTTTCAACACATCGCCCACGCCCTGTTTTACACCCCCACAATAAAATTTCCCCGCAAATGCTGAATTTCTTTCTAGCTACTTGTATTACATGTCCCATAGTTTAATGTATTTTGCCTCTTTTTTTCGATTTTCGCGCTCTTCAGAGCGTTAAAAGAGCGAAGTTCCAGGAGAATAAACCGTTGCAGCCATTTCCCATTCCTTACTGTATAAATATTGTGTATCTACTGAGGTGTCGCAAAAAAGATTAGGTGCTTATGTGATATGCAGCAGTGGCTTATGCTTGATCATTCTTTGCCAATTTATAACATATTCACACACTCCTCGCATAGCTTTTCCATGCTTCATGTTGTATTTTATTCACGCTCCGATAAACTGTATCGAACTGCGCGGGTGTATTGCACTCTGTCCGAACTTATTTCCCGATTGCTTTGCCTCCAACGCTAGGGTATCACATAACTGATATCGGGGAAAAACGCTTTGTACGTATACCCTTTTAAGGCTTTTCTATACATAGATACAAATACAAAAAAAAAAAAAAAATACACAGAAAAGGCTCGAAAATTAACAGTTATGTATTTAGGAAGTAAGAAACTTTTTAGTCGGCTAACCACGGAATTATGATGGAAGCAGTGGGCTGCGTCGAGTTCCTTATGTAATAACTTTTGAAATTCGTTTTGGCAAAGTACGCATCCAATAATATGACCCCGTTGACACATTGGTTGTATGTGTAAGGAAGAAGATGTGTCCAATTGTGATTTTTGCGGAAATTCTCAAAAGAAAAAACGTGTAATCCGTCACATTTCATATGGAGCAGAAAAGACTGGTAACGATGCCAACTGCTATTTCTATGGCGCAAACTGTGCAGCAATAAAAAGCGGGTTTTTTCAAACAACACTGCAATGAGAAAGCAAAAAATTATAGCTATTGATCAACGGGCATAATTCCAGCGCCTGGCATATGTCCCGAGAATCGAAATGCACGATGAGCATGTTTGAGGCACACACAGTGTCTGACACAATTTACATATAAAGCTGTGAGGTAATATTCAGAATCCAAGAAGGTCCTTCATTGCCTCGATCACATCGCCGTTGTGCTCGATCAGCTTCTTCTCCGCTCGACTTTTTGGCAGCTCCAACTCATCCATCTAAAATTACTACCAAATTGAAAGCAAAACTGGGAAACACAACTGAACTGCGTATGCAGCTTGAGGGAAGAAAGAAAAGAATACGAGCTGAGGCTGAACGCACCCTGGTCCCTCATAATTTTCGGATTCTGGTTGAACATGCAGACCTTGCAGCGGATCTATTTCGACCAAAACATCCCACATCGAAATGCGAACGGTGAAGAAGGTGATGGCACGTACCTACTGAGGATTAATAAAGTGATGCAACAATAGTCCAGTAATCTTTTTACCGAAGACAGGAAGGGAAATCCTGAACATCTAATAGCCAGTTTCAAATCCAAAACTATGAACTGCATAGATGTACTACGGATTAGCAGCTGCTCCACTTATTTCGGGCTATTAAACAACTTAAAGTCTCCTTTGCGACCTTCACAGTCATAAGATTTTGAAGAACCGCAGTGCAGCAATCTCTCATTAACAGCTTTGGCTCCATGCATAACTAAAAAACAAAAATTGGCCAACGCACGGGCTGCCCGTGCGAAGATGCGTTTTTTGCAGAGTTCCCTACAGTTTT